CCCGGCTGAGGCGGCCCCGCCGCTCCGTGCGCCCCGACGGCGGCTCGCTCTGGAGCCCGGTCCCTGCACACGCGCTCCGCGGTCTGTCGGGGTGATGGAGCCGCCGCGGCGCCGCGCTGCCCGTCCCCTGCAGCCCGCAGGGCTCCGGCACGGCCCGGCCGCCCGGGGATGGGGTCAGGGGGCGGCTCGCCGTGGCTTGAGCTTGGCCGGGCCTGCGATCCCGCGGGGAGCGGGTCCTGAGCAGCGCCGCGGGGGTAAAGGGGGAGGGCGCGGGGGCTGGAGCGGCGCTGCCGCGCTCCCAGGTGATGCCAGAGGCAGATAAGGAGTCTCCGCCTGGCTCTGGACGGGGGGATGGATACGCCGGAGGCAGGGCTCGCCTCGCCGCTCCGGGGGAGCCCCCGCCGCCCAGCCCCGCCACCCCCCGGAGGAGGCGCCCGGCCCCGCACCGCGGCAGGTGCGGGCACGGCCGGGCGAGCCAGGGGACTACTCCGAAAGGAAAACCTGCTCTCCGCCTCCCGGGCTATAAATAAGTGGCCCCGGTTCTGAAAGCGGATTAGCGCGGTGCGGTGAGGCTGTGCGGGAGAAGCCAGGGCTGTGCCCGTCCCGACCCGCTCTGTTCCGATCCCTATGGCCGCGCCGCTCCGCGGCTGGGGTGCCCCTTCGCCGCCCTTCCACGACTTTTTTTAGTTCGTTTTTGGTTTTTTCGTTTAAATCCATTTTTGGTTTTTTTTGTTTTTTTTTTTATTAAGTCCAAAATATTTAATCCCACTATTCAACCGCTGACAATAAATAACAATAACTTACTTTTGATCGTTAAAGGCGCAAACAATCCGTCCTTCGTCCATTGATAACTTAACATTATTAGTACTGGTTTTCCCGTTAAAAAGTCTCGTTTCCGTGTCCCGTTTTTCCAGCGATCGTGCGGGGCCGGGCATCGTGGCCCGGAAGAGGCATCGGTGTGAGATGAGGCTGGACGGCGCGGCTCTGCGGAGGCAGGTCCAGGCCAGCTCCGCGGCCGCACGCCGGAAGAGTCTCTCCCCATTTTGTAGATTTTTTTTTTATTACTTATTTTTCCTTTTCAGAAAGGAAAGAAAAACTGTCCACAGCGCAAGTGGCCGGCAAGAGGCAGCCTGTCACCGTGCCGGGCTTCGGCAGGGAAATCCGAGTTTCTTTGGGGAAAAAGAAACATCGAAATCCGCAGGGAAAAAAAAAAAAAGAAAACCACGAAAAAACCAGGACGGGGGCTCTCTCTCCGGTCTGGTGAAGGCAGCGAGGATCCCGGTGCTTTTTTGGCCGACAGTAATACAATTTTTGTTTGTTTTTAAATAAGAATAATTAAAAAACAAAGGCGTTTGTCCGGCGCTCTGGGAGCGGCCCGGGGCCGGGTGTCTCATGCAGGGAGCGCAGGCATGCGGAGGTCCCGCGGCGGGGCGGACGGGCCGCTTCACGTCTCGGCCGGGCTGGGTACCATGCTGTTGGGGGTGTCGGGGAGCTGGGAGGACAGCGAGGTCACGTCGCTGCCGGAGGAGGTGCCCAGGGAGCCGGACTCGGAGAAGGAGACCTGGGGAGCAGCGGCGGTGAGGGCCTGGTGCGCTCGCCCCCTGTCCCGTCCCCCTCCCTCAGCACCCGGGCCCAGCGGGCCGGCATCTGCCCGTCCCGTGCGGCCCGACGGACGACCCGGCGCGGCTCACCAGCTGCTGGAAGGCGGCGGGCTGCTCCAGGTCGCTCTGCAGGGCGAACTCGCTGAGCGCCTTCCAGGGCGGCTGGTACGTCTGGACCTCCACAGCGCTGCCCTGCACGGCGCTCTCGTGGCGGATGGGGCTGCCGGCCACCAGCGGCGTCCCGGTGAGGCCCTGCAGGCTCTGCGGGCACACGGGGATTCATGCGACTGCCGCCCGAGCCCGCGGGCCCGAGCCCCCCACCCACATCTCCCACCCCGCCGGGGAGGGCGGGCGCTCACCGTCTTGTCGCTGTGCTGCTGCTGCTGGAGCTGCTTCATGAGAATGGACTTTTTCTTGTCCTTGCAGCGCTTGTTCTGGAACCAGACGCGGATGACGCGGGGACTGAGCCCCGTCATTTCCACAAGCTGCTCCTTCATCAGGGCGTCGGGGCGCGGGTTGGCAGCGTAGCAGGTCCGCAGCGTGTGCAGCTGCTTCTCGTTCAGCACCGTCCGCACGCGGGTGGTCTTCTCTGCCGCCTTGTGCGCCGGCGGCCGCGGGGCGGGCGGCCTCCCGGGCACCGGCTCTGCGACGGGCGGGGAGGGCGCGCACCGTCAATGCCGCCGCCCGCTCGCCCGCCGCAGCCCTCCCGACACCCTCCCCGACCCGCCGCCCGCCCCGCCGGGGAGCCGGTACCTGCGAGGTGCGCGGCGGCGGCCGGCGGCAGCGCGGGGCTGCGCGGTCCGCGGGCGGCGGCGCCGTCGGGGGGCGACCCGTGGTCGGCGCGGCAGAGCAGGTCGCGCTCCCGCAGGCAGAACTGATCGCCGGGCAGGAGCTGGCGGCCGCAGGCGGCGCAGCGGAAGCACTCCAGGTGGTAGACGTGGTCGCGGGCGCGCATCACCAAGTCGCTGCTGCTGAACGCCGCCCGGCACTGGGCGCACTTGATGCCGAAGAGCCTGCGGGAACGCGACGCGCCGTCAGGGCCCGCGGCCGCGCCGTCGGGGAGGCTCCAGGCGGTGCCGCGGGGGCGGGCAGCGGCCGAGAGTCCGGTTTTCGTTGGGGGAAAATTAGGGGAGCTTAAGGGGCTTTTGTGCTTTTTCAGGTCTGGGTCATTTTTTTTCCTAACGAGCGCCGGCGCATTCGGGGTCACCTGCTGTAATCTCGTTTGCAGTAGGCCTTGCCGTCGCGCAGGAAGCATGTGCAGGTCTCATCCAGGGGCTGCCCGCACTCGGCGCACTTGAGGCAGGCGACGTGCCACTCCAGGTCCGGCGACACCCGCAGCAGGAAGGGGTCCTGGATACGGCCCCCGCAGCCTGCGCACAGGGCCAGCCCTGGCCGCCCTGCCGGGAGCGAGCGGGCTACAGTCAGAGCCGGCAGTGTGCCACAGCAGAGGCCAGCAATTAGGGAAAAGCACTGTTTCTTTTTTACACTTCATCCTTTTTTCTTATTCTGATTCGGTTTGGTTTTTTCCAAAATAGGAAGAATGAGAAATAAAGACAGACACGCAGACAGAAAGGCCGGAAACGTGAAAGGAGACAAATTAATACGACCAAAAAAAAAAAAAAAAAAAAAAAAAAAAAAAAAAAAAAAAAAAAAAAAAAAAAAAAAAAAAAAAAAAGGAAAAAAAAAGAAAAAAATACAGAAGCTTGATCAAGACAAATAAATGCTGAAAGACGGAGACCTAAAAGTAGAATTTTGGAAAAGGAAAATAAAAGCAGAGACTCAAAACCAATAAAACAATGGCTGAGGAAAACTTGAAAGAAATAAGGCAAGAAACTAAGAAAAAAGGAAGTAAAGAAAGATGGAAAAAAATTAAGACAGAATGATGGGAAAAGATATAAAAGCATCAAAAACCGAGAGACAATTAAAATGGGAATATGGACAAATGAAAAGCGTAAGAGACACGAAATCAAAGCGACAGAAAGAGAAATAGAACTAAACAAGAACAGAAAGAAAATAAAATTTAAAGAAAATGGAAAGAGAAATTTAAAAAAATAGACAAACACGAAAGAGATAAAGAAAGAGAAACGGTAATACGGACAAAGAAAGAAAGAAATAAAGAAGGAAGAGCAAAGGGCAGCAGAAAAAGAAATGGAAACAGCCGAAAGAAACGAGCTGAGCGGCGCGGACAGCAGAAAGGACAGAGGGGCCGGGAAGCGCCGGGCAGGAACGGGAATAGCGGCACCGGAGTTGCCACGGGCCGAGCCCGCAGCAGCCCACGCCCGCCGTGGGGCCGCATCCCTTCCCGGCGCTGTCAGCGCGCCCGCGTCCGCCAGTCCACCCGACGGCAGCGGCGGCGCGGAGCTCGACCCGCAGGGTCCCGCGCACGCCCGCCCGCCCTGGCCCCGCGTTTCGCTGCGCTGCGCGCACTTACTCTTGGAGGGCTCCCCCATGGCGCCCGGGAGCGGCCGCGGGAGGAGGATGTCCACCATGCGGGCGGCCCCCTGCGCACCGGCAGCGATGCGGGATGCGGAGCCGCCGCTCCACCACTACCCGCGCGGAGCGGGGCGGGGGCCGCGCCCGCCCCCCCGGGCCCGCCCCGCCGGGCCGCGCCGTGATGTCAGCGCGCAGAGGCGCTGACCTCACCGCGCGGCCCCCGGAGGCGATTGGCGGCCGCGGGGAGCGCCCGCGGATTGGCGGCGCCGAACAATGGGCGCGGGCGCGGAGCGGGGCGCACGCCCCGCGCGGTCCGGCCCGGAGCCGCACGACGGCGGCACTGACGGGGCGGCGGCCCCGCGCCCCGCGGCTCCTCCGCGCCCTGCGCCCCGGGCGGCCGCGGGACCCTCTGCCCCGCCCGCCGCGCTGCGCCTCGGCCCTGTGCGCGCAGGAGCGGCGGCATCGGCAACCCGAGGAGAAGGAGATGCATCGTAGCTTTTTTTCCTCCTCTGTTTTTCCTGTTATTCTTCTTGACTTTTAGTTCGCCTAATTTTTTCTCTTTTTATTTCCCTCTTCCTTCTCTTTCTCGTCTCTTTTTCGTCTTATTTCGTTGTTATTTTGCCCGAGTTTCGGCGTGCCGCTGGCAGGTGCCCGCGGGCGGGCTCGGCGGGACAGTTCCGGCGCCGCGCAGAGGAGCGTCTCCGCGGCGGACGGGAGGGGGCTGCGCGGCGGACGCCGGCTCGACGCTGCGCACCCGCGGAGCAGTTCCCTGCTGAGGCCCGTGTGCGGAAGAGCCATCCCAACGGACCCGAACAGAACCGACCGCATCGTCGGGGCGGCCGTCCCGGGCAGCAGCCCTGTGATGAGTTGAAATTAGCCGAGAAAAATTATATTATACCGCATTTTCATGTACCCGATTCCTTGCTGTTCCCGCAGGTGAATCTCTCCTGTTGCTTTCTCATGCCTTCCTTTTTCTCCCCTTTTTTCCCCCAGTCACCATAGGCTTCCTGTACATTAGCAGAAAAATAGGGAAAGCACTTCCGTGGCCTTTGACTCAGTGTTAAATTCCCAAAGACTTTGCAGTACAGCACCACGAGTCCCTCATAAGGTCCAGGAAAGCTTAAACATGCTGGAAACTGAGATTGCTGCTGTCTTGGAGCTTTGCTCCTGTACTTCACCTCCATGCAATCGCCTTTTAAATTTCACACATGGAATTTGACAGGCATTTGCCAATCTGTATGGCTTGGGAAGGACGTGGTGACTTTATATGTTGGCTAAGGAAGGGCAGGCTGTGTCATTTTCCTCAGAGGAGGGAGGTGGGATGGGTTTTCCAGCTAAAGAACTTGTCTGGTGCGAGCAGGGCACCCTGCAGGTATGAAACCCCAGAAGCTGGGGAGTGGGAGAGGACTTTTTGGATAAAGGGCTTCACTATTTGACCCGTTCTCCCAGCCTGGTCACAGCCTCTACTACCCCTTTGAGGACCCCAAGTGTCGAAAGCAAGCTCTTAAATTTGTACAACAGCTGTGGGGGAAAGGAGGCTGGGTGGCATTTGAAGCACCCATGTCAGCAGGGATGCACGTCACCAAGGGATTTTGGTATCTCTGCCTTCCCCTGTGTGTGCGAAGGTGCAAAGGTGAAGCAGTGACATCCTCAGGGCAGGGTGAGCTCTGCCCCTGTCCCATGTGTACCCTGCTGGGGGCTGTGGTCTGACTGCTGCCTGCCACTGGCGTGGCTCACTTGCCAGTGGCAGAGCTGGATGGGGGTGAGAGGTATGAAGGCAACTGGAAAAGTTTGGTTGAGTCTTCAAACTGGGGTTGCCCTGAGGTTTGGGTGATGGGAACCTCTACAGCACCGTGGGGCACCACAGGTCCATGCCTGGGCACCTGGCAGACAAGAGGGTGCAGAACGGTGACTTCAGTCTGAGCCAGAATTCAGAGTCCTGGGTGAGTCAGTATCTGCATGTGTTAACAATAAAATGCAAAAATGTCAGAGTGATAGGAGAATGAAACATGTCTAAGAATACAGCAGCTTGGCAGGGATGCTCTGTGTTGCATCACCCTTTTCCCACTCGAGGGCAGGATCCTGTCTACTCTCCCAAACCTCCCACCAGTTTAGGAATTAGTAAAGTTACAGCTGAGCCAACCAAACTTTTCCAAACCTATGCAAAGCAGTGCTGCAGTCACACCTGTATCCAAACAGAGAGATGTGCTCACACCAGGCAGGTACGGTTGGACTGGACTTGCTTCACCACCAGGCAGGTAGGAACAGGGTAGGCAGTGCTGCACAGGCACTGCCAGTAGAAAAACCAAAAAAATTACTTGCCAGGGAAATGCTGAAAACCCTGCATTTCCTCTATGTGTTATACAAAAAGCTTTAAAATTACTACAGGTAATGCCATGAGGCCTTAAACCAGCTTGATACCACATGTTTTACAAACAGGTTAATTGTTGGTTCATCTGAGGGAGGGTAAGGGAAAGCACATCATAAAGTCATGGAATAATTCAGTTCAGGAGGCACCTCTGGAACCTTGTCTTCAGGTAACTTGGAACTGCTGGAAGCATTTTCTAGTCAAAGCCAAGTGCAATTCTCTCCTGCCACACTGATTGCTCCTTGCTCTCCTCCACCCAGTGTCCAGATTTCCAGTCTCTTTTGCAGCAGTTCTGGTCGGGTTTGGTGTGAGAGCTGGCAGGGGCTGAGGTTGCCTAATGGTACTTCCCACTCTCTACAGAGCAGCTCTGGGGTTTGCTCCCAAATAGATGTACAAGTTCCCTCTAGAAGGGGGAAACGGTAACTGTTCTTTTTGTTTGCAGCAGATTGCAAAGGCAGTAAATGCTGATTCTTTCAGAGCCAACCATGGATTAAGTCCATTATAAAATTAAAACAGATGGAACGCAATTTCACTTACATTACAAAAAAGGACAGGAACCATCTGCAATAAGATTTAGCATTGCAAAGCTTTTGTTATCATGTTACCATTAAAACCTTTGATGAAGAGTTCTCTTTCTTTCACAAACTTGTTCACACAAAACAAATGTTTTATTTATCCATCTTCCTAAGATAGTCATATTTTATTAAAAAGATAACGTCTCTCAAAAAATCTCCCTTGGTCCTAGCAGGATGTGGCAAAATAAAGAAATGTTGTAAAACTCCAATACCAAGACATTGGTAGCTTCAATGGGGAAGATGTAGCAAAATGAGAATTCCCTATCAATTTTCCTTTAAAAAACATTTCCTTGTGTTTGGGCACAATGTCTGATACTGAGAATAGATAATTAATGAGATAATGGGATACTGCATGTCACCTCCTGTCCAATGGGATTATCTGATGGCTAATTATGGACAGATTGTGATTAATGTGATTATGGATTGGATATTAATCTGATTCTGGATTGATCTAGTTATGTTTTAGTCTGCTCCAAATGGTTAATTGGATCTGAGATAATAGAAATGCAGCTTGCACCAGATTTTGCCACATCAGTTGATGAAGTATCTTTTGATCTGGGTGGGTTGCGAACAATAAATTATTTACAGCTGTTGAGAAAATGACTCTTCCTTAGAATGTAGTCATTCATTTTATTTTCGAGAGCCTTTGAAAACAAAATCAATATCCTTTCTAAAAGGAGATGTTGACAAAAGAAAGGCACGTACATAACTCACAAACAAATGTGACGAAATTAAACAGTGGTTAACCCGGTGGCCTAATGTCTGGTGATGCATTTGAATTGCTATGTGGAGCTTTGGGCTCAATTCTTCTGAGACCAGCAGGGGTTGGGAGCATTGCAGGGGAACAGGGCCCAGCGCTGGGGAAAGTGGTGTTGCACAACAGCTACTGCCAGCCCTGCTAGTGATTAAGAGTCAGCCATGGTAACATTGGCAAAGGGAGCCCTTGCCATTTCCCCCCTCTGGATAAGAAAGATTCAGAAAGTTCATGAGTGCAGAAAAGACTTATTGGCCCATCTCCTCTGGTCTCCTTCACCAGACCATGCAATTTGACACAGAATTATTTTTTTTTTCCCCCTCACAATGAACTTGTTTATTTATGGTTTACCTCAGTCATCTCTTCTCAGTCATCTGGTCTTGGTGTCACCTGCAGTGCAGGAGAGGCTGCCTTGCCCTTGCATCCCTGCTTGTTAACTACTTTCACTGGAATGGACACCCAAGTGTATGGTTTAGGTTCAACCCCCAGACACTGGATCTCGTTATGCCATTATCTGCAGGATTAAAGGCAATGGGTAAATTGCAGACTTTGTAGCCTTCATCTTAGACTTTGTGACAGGGCAAGGAGGAGGTACCTTAGCCTTTGTCACCAGGTGCTATAAGTGACAGGTAACTCACCAGAAAGTTCTCCTCCCTAAAGGGCTCTGCAATAAAAATATCAAAAATCAAGCAGGTTCCAAAACACTGAAAACAAGGCCTACTGCAGCTGCTGTGCTTACACAAAAGTGCTATTGACTGAGCTGAAACAGAAAGAAAAAAAGGAAAAAGTAACTTTCCTTGAAAAGTCCTTAGAGGCAGGGAAATAGTTTTTCCTCTGGAAACTCTGCTGCAGGAATAGCTCAGGCTGGTGTGAGTGGGAATACAGTGGCATCTGGATTCCTTTCCAGCAGTGTAATGGGCAAAAAAGTGCAGCTACCCCTTTAAAAAAATAATGCTTGTACAACCTGTCAAAGAATTTTACACATATCTGCCATTAACAACAAGGCAAGCTGCGTGCAGAAGGAGTTTGGGAGGTTGTAAAACCCCATCCAGGCATCTGCACTGGGAGGGCAGCAGAACTCTTCTCACCAGCATTGTTTCCCTTGTCCTCCACAAACCATCACTCCTGGGCAGGACAAGTTGCCTTCCAAGGTAACCTGAGCCTTTGCTTTCAGGAGGTTATGAGTGTCCCATTTTGCCTGTGAGCTGGGCAGAAAGGGTTTCTTGAACACCTCAGGTGATCTTGTTCTTTAGGAATATGCAGCATGATGTTACTCCCGGCTCCCTTGCTACTTGACTGGCACATGGAAATTATTAGCAAGGGAGAGCAGTTTATAAAAAAGAGAAAATGCCTGTCTGTGGTGATTTTGTAGGCTCAGTATTAGAAGGGTTGTCCCTGCCATGGGGTAGCTTTGGAGGAGCTCTTTCTGCTGTCCTGCACTTTGTAAGCAGGGCTTGTGGCATTGTCCCCTTCCAAAGGCTTCTGTAAGGCCTCATGAAAGAGCATGCAAATGAGTGGCTGTAAGGTGATCTGAGCAGAGCACTAATAAACCACACACCTGTGGTGGTTAATAAAGGACCTCCGGTGTCAGACATGTGGAGATGAGTCGTTGTGCCAGTGATGATGAGGGGCAGAGAGCAGGGCTCTGGGGACACATGTCCCTCCTTGTGTACAACTCGTGACTTGGGCAAGGGCTGAGTGCAGGGGGACCAGCAACGTCCTGGGGTGGCCGAACCACACGGACCCTGTGAGTTCACAGCACTTGGACACAAAATATTTCAGCAGCAGCAACCTCTCCTGCTCCTGCTTCCCAGGTGGATTTTAGTCCTGTCTGGTGCTGGGCTGTGGGTCCTGTCCATTGGTTTTGGGGGTCCTGCTGAGCTGTCAGCAGGTTGCAGTTGCTTTAACTTGATTGGATTTTGACAGATTAGGAGGCGAATCCTTTCGTGTGTTGGGGAAGCTTCCCAAAGGAAGGTCTTTTAATTTATCTGAGTCAGCTATCCCCAGGGTGATTGCAGGAGGAGTAAGCTAAGGATAACCTGTGACAGAGGGGACCATCATAGCAGTAATAAAAAAAAAAAAAAAAAAAAAAAAAATAAAAAATAAAAAAAAAAAAAAAAAAAAAAAAAATCCTGCTCTTCATAAATCCCTTAGTCATGAGGCTGTATTAGCTGGATTCCATATGTTTTAATTAGGAATTATGTATTTTAAGAAAACCAAAATCCTATTCTAGAGAAGACATCATTACATATTTGTAATGGTCCTTATTTCATTTGGCTTCTGTATAGATACCAATACAGGTACCTCTCCGTGTTTGCAACCATATTTTTAAAAGTTTGAATAATCTGTGTTATTATTTTTTCTTTTCTCCAATCCCAATAGTGTGAAAAAATGTAATTCTCTTTCCAATGAAGAAATTGGGTCAGCGGATCCTAATGAAATAATCCTGGATAACAATGCACTATACAAGGATCTGCTTCCACTAATTAATGACTAATTTTTCTTTCAAAATACAAAGTAGTAACTTCTGCCTGCAGTGGACAGTGATTCTACTTCAGTGGCATCTGTTTGTTGCATGTTTTCCATTTCTGTTATTGTCATGGGAAGGTCAAATAGAGAAAAGCTTTTTGCCATAGTTCAGCTTGTATGGATCATGCTGATATAATCCCTACCTGATTACAGTTATAAGCTCCTAAAACACTGGCCATAAGTGATAAAGACTTCCTTTGTGCTTCAGGCTGTAATCCGCATCAAGCCAGTTTCAATAAGGATTTGTGCATCTGAAGTGTTGGTGAGGATTTGAATCAAAATTATAAACAGAAAATATAATAAAAAGCCTGTCTTGTCTCTGAATTGGTGATGCTACACCTTAAAATCTGACCTAAAGAGCAATGCCACTCGTGAAAATACAATGTGTGGGCTATGAAGCCAGACACACAATGAATGGATCAATTTACTATTGGCTATGATGCATTTAGTTAGTTAGTTTTGATAGGAGCTCACTTTTGTTTTAGTGTGAGGCAGTAAAGCCCCAACTTGAATGAGATCACTTTGTTTATTCTTATAGTTTGGGGGTTTTAGGTGTATGTTTGTTGTAAATATTTCATCCGCATGAGATGTCCATGTTGGAAGCTTAGTTTTGGAGCCTAAAATAGGATTATGAAATTACATGCCATGCTTTTAATGAGTAAAACACCCCAATTAAAAAGACATAATGGCCAAATTAAGGACGCCTAGGATGTTCTTATTTTGCCTTTGCTGTTGCATTTGTTTGATTACCTAGGGTGTAGATAAGGATTTCTACACTGTATAAAACTCCACTTCTCTGAAGAGTTAACACTGCACCTTAACCATCATTCAAGTTGGTGATAAAGAGCCACAGCAAATAGTAACCCTCTTTTTAAACCCCTCTCAGGGTACTGGGGCTTCTGCAAAACCGTTTTCCCCCTCATCCTTATAGAAACAAATTTTTTTTTCACTTGGTCATTTGCACAGACCAGACGATGCACAGGCAGCTCCAAGCACTCATTTGGTTTTCCTCCTTTTTTGGGGACTAAAGGGTGGAGCCAGCCCAGGCAGAAGTCAGATCAGCCCTGGAGCTACTTTAATCCATATAATCAGGCACAGGTCCTGAAGGAGGTTTGCCACCTCCTTTAGCTCTTTCCTTTGCAGCCCTCCTTTGTGGCTTGAGGAGTTAAGGTTCTGCTCTGGGGCCAGGGAGCTGTAATATGCAGGACAGCTGCTTTTCTTCTGTTCTAGAGACATTTGAGATTTGAGACGAAGTAAATTGTCCATTTAGATGCTTGAATTGCTGGACCTGGTTAGCATTTGCTGTAAACCAGCACTTTTTGGCATCTGATATGAAAATCACAAGGCAGAATAAATTTAAAAAGTGATCCTGTGCCAAGACTGTGGCAAAGTTGAAGAGCCTTTTTGATCAATCTGCCTTTGCCTTCTTATGCAGCGACCCAGCAATGCAGAACGAATCACTGACGTGCTGAAGATCACCGCTGATTCTTGGAGGAACAAGCCAATGGCCATAATTGCTGGGCGAGGGGGGGAATGTTTGGGCTTTTTTACACTCTAAGCCGCTTCAGGATGGGAAGGAAGAAACTGCATTTGTGGCTCACTATCTTGTGATTTCTGGGATGGGAATTCCATTCTGAAGTGTTCCAAATCCATGTGTGCTTGGGGCTCCTGGGCTGGCAGGACCAGTTGCTCCAGTGTGGCAGCTCCTGCCAGCTTCTCCAGGACATCACATTTTCAGAGAGTCATAGCACACAGCGCAGTGAATTTGGCCTGAAACATTTTGCTTCCTTGATTTTTAAATCCCTCTCCTTGCCACCCAGAAAAAAAATGCATATGGAAAACCAGCAAGTTTCAATCTGGTCCCTGGAGCACCCTGGTGCCATGTAAGGGGAAGGCACAAGTTGTCTTGCCTTGGTTCTGGGAAAGCATAATAATAATAGAATAGATCTATAAATTATTCAGAGCTCATGAGCTGCTGCCTACTGTTGCTTGGGGCCAAGCACAGGGGTGTGGGTGAGGCAGCCAGAAGTCTGTCGTGGTGAGAGGATGCCATCCAGGGCTCGTGGTACCCGACTGGTCTTTGAATTTTGGTGCGGTTTGGACAACTGGAGGGGCGCAACATTTGGGAAGCACGGTGCCATCTGGCCTTTGCAGCGTGCCACGCACTCCGTCCCTACAGGATCTCTCCGCTTTTGCTGCGCCTCTGGTGCGGGGAGCGCGGCCGGGGGGCTCCGGCAGCCCCTGGGCAGCCACAGGCGGGGCCAGTCCCCAGGCTGCTATTGGCTCCAGAGCCTGAAGTGAGACCTGTCCTTTCTCTTCGCAAGGCACATTTCATTGGCTTAGGACAGGATCTGGCAAGGAGCAGCAGCATTTGAAGGCATAACCCTGCTCTGATGTTTTCTTCTCTTTAAAGGCTGTAACCCTTTGCGGAAGCAGCGCGGGGGAGCCGCGCAAAGGCGGCCGCAGGAGGCTGGCGCCGGTACCGGGTCAGTTTGGGCTGGACGGGCCCCTACGGCAGCGACAACTTTGCTCTTGCCA